TTGTGGAGTAATTTTTCTCCGCCTTGGACAATGTCCGACTTGCGTAGGCGATGACTCGCTCGATGCCTTCTTGCACTTGGACTAGTACTGCGCCCAGTCCCGCGTTACTTGCGTCCGTGTGAATTTCTGTTTCCGCATCCTGGTCGAAATGTCCAAGCACAGGAGGAGTCTGGAGTCGTCGTTTCAGTTCGTCGAATGCCTGCTGTTGCTCCTCGGCCCATTCGAACTTCTTGGCGTCCTTCGTGAGATTCGTAAGTGGTGCGGAAATCCTTGCGAAATCCCGAACGAAGCGTCGATAATAGGCACAAAGTCCAAGGAATCTTCGCACGGCCTTCTTATCTGTCGGCGCTGGAAATGCCGCGACGGCGCGAGTCTTCTCGGGGTCTGGGCGGACGCCTTCGTTACTAACCACGTGGCCAAGGAACTTCAGTTCGTCATAGGCGAACCGGCACTTTGACGGCTTGAGTGTAAGTCCGGCGGTCTGAATGGCTTGAAGAACAGCTCGGAGTCGTCTCAAGTGCTCGTCGAAGTCAGCTGAAAATACTACGACGTCGTCAAGGTAGACGAGACAACTCTGCCACTTCAGCCCTGCCAGTACGGTGTCCATGACACGCTGGAAAGTTGCTGGCGCTGTGCATAGTCCGAAGGGCATCACCTTGAACTCGTACAGTCCATCCGGCGTGACGAAGGCTGTCTTCTCTCGGTCCCGTTCGTCGACCTCGATTTGCCAGTAGCCGCTCTTCAGGTCCATCGATGAAAAGTATCGAGAGTGGCGCAGCCGGTCTAGAGTGTCGTCGATGCGGGGGAGTGGGTAGACGTCTTTCTTCGTAACCGTGTTGAGCTGCCGGTAGTCCACGCAGAACCGAAGAGTTCCGTCCTTCTTCTTAACCAGCACGACTGGAGAGGCCCATGGACTGCTTGAAGGTTGGATTATGTCGTCATTCAGCATCTCTTGAACTTGCTGATGGATCACCTCCCTTTCCTTAGCGGAGACTCTGTACGGCGATCGATGCACAGGGCGCGCGTCGTCCTCAGTAACGATGCGGTGCTTGGCAACCGCGGTCTGGCGCACCTTCGACGACGTCGCATAGCAGTCGCGGTATTCGGCGAGGAGGTTAACCAGCTGACGCCGTTCAGGGTCCGGAAGCTTAGGGTCAATGTCGAGCTGCGCTGGCGACGTACTGTCTTGCTGGGGCGGCGAGGATTCGTCAGTGATCGCAGTGATTTCGGCGGGGTTTCGGAGTTTCTCGACGTGGCCCACGGCTGCACCTTTCGTGAGGTGTTGCGTTTCGTTTCGGAAGTTCGTCACGAGGGCCACAGTCCGCCCATCCTGAAGTTCAGCTACTCCCCTTGCGACGCCTATGCCTCTTCCCAGGAGCAATTGGAGGCTTCCCTCGAGAAGAACTTCGCCACAGGAAGCTTCATCGATCCCGACAAGTACGAAAACACTCGACCGCGGTGGTAGGTTTACGTGGTTTGCGAGGACTCGGACCGTGGGTGACGTCGCTTCGGGTTCCTCCGCTGGTGGAGCAGGTTTTCGTAGCGTCAGCCGGTTTGTTCCGAGGTCGATGACGGCGCCATACTCGCAGAGAAAGTCCATTCCGAGGATAACGTCCCTCGAACAGTCTTGCAGAACGACGAACTTGACAGGGCACGTTTCACCGTGGATCTCGACGCGAGCAGTGCATCTCCCGACTGGTGTGATGAGATGTCCTCCGGCGGTTCGTATTTGGGGTCCTTCCCACGGCGTCATGACTTTTCGAAGGCGGCGGGAGAGCCTCCCACTCAAGACTGAGTAGTCTGCTCCGGTGTCCACGAGTGCCGATGCGTCGTGACCGTCGATGACGACGTTTAGGTTGTTGGACACCGTTGCAGGGGCGTCGTAGCGATGCGTGGCGTCGGGAGAGTGGGAGCGCTCCGGCGTTCTTGGAGGCTCTTTACGTCGGTCGTCTTCGGCAACTCCACCTCCAGGGGTTGCCGCGCCTAGTTTCCCCGGCGAGGAGCGAGGGGCGACAGGCTTTCACGTCGGGGTCGGTGCATCGGCGAAGCTGGACGTCGTGGCGATGGCGACCGGAACTCTCGGCGGGACGCAGGCTCGGGGGACTGGGGTCGTCGCAGGTACTCGTCGATCTCCCGAGGGCGTTCACCACACCGGGGGCGCGGGTCGTTTGGGTTTAATCCGCGCAGCCCGAGTCGTCGGTATGGGCATCGGCGGTACACATGGTCGGCTTCCCCGCAGTGGTAGCAGAGCGGGCGTCGGTCGGCCGTTCGCCACACGTCGGTCTTCCTCGACGAGGGTTGCTCCGGGCGAACGTCGTGGACATGTCCTTCCTGGCGTCGAGGATACTGTGGCATCGGAGGGTCTCGTCGGGGTGGCGCCGTGGTCTGGCGGTTAGCTTGCGGCGATCTTCGGGCCATGGCGGCGTAGCTCAAAGTAGGCTCCTCTGGCGTCGTCGTTTTGATCGGAATCTCAGGTTGGAAGGCTCGGTGGACTTCCTCTCGGACGACCTCGGCGAGCGACAGGTAGGACGAGCGATCCGTAGCGGGGAGCATCTTGCGGATTTCTTCCCGGATGACTTCACGGATGACGTCACGGATGCCTGGGAGGTCGGTACCAAGGTCGTATCCGGATGTCGCCAGAGTAGTCACGCCAGGGTGCCGCTCGTAGTGTCTGGCGCGTGCTAGTAGCGCACGCTCCATAATCGTCGCCTCCGTGACGAACCCGTCGACAGTTGTCGGAGGATTGCGAATGAGACCTCCGAATATCTCGCTTTTGACACCCCTCATCAGGTGTCGCAGCTTCTTCTCCTCTGTAGCCTGAGGATCGGCGCGGGCGCTTAGGCGGAGAACATCCTCCACGAGGCCGGTGATGCTCTCGTTGGGGCCTTGAGTCCTGGTACGAAGTAAGTCTTCGGCTCTCTCTCGGCGGTGCTGGTTGACAAATGTCGCCTTCAGCTGGCTCTTGAAAATGTCCCAGGATGTCAATGAGGACTCGTGATTTTCGTACCAGCTTCTGGCAGTCCCCTCGAGCGAGAAATACACGTTTTGCAGCCGTTGCTCGTTGGTCCAGCTATTGTGGCGGGCGACGCGTTCGAATTGGTCGATCCAATCTTCAACGTCTTCGTGGAGTTCACCGTGGAACGGAGCCGGTGTCCGAGGAGCGACGGGTAGGTAGACGACGGCAGGAGCGGCGGGGGTCTGCGACTGGTTGGCCATCGTCGGCTGCCTGGTCCTGGGTGGTAGAAGTCCGTATTCCGGGTTTAGCCCTTGGGTGCGGCGACTTGATCGAGTCTCGATCTGGTCTTCGTTGGGTCCTCGGGAGCTTGGATTCGGACTTGTACTGCGGGAACTCGGAGGGCTGCGCTGCACGGACATGCGGTACCCCGCACCTCCACCAGAATGTCACGGGTGGTGAGTCGTGACCAATAAACAAGAAATAAACAGAAATAAATAAACGTTTAATGTGGCGAACTTGTGCCAAAAATAAAGAAGGAAACAGCAGAAAGCAGAGCGTCGCGGGCGTCGAAGTCGGCGTGTCAGCAGAATCGAGCGCTAGGGCGAGACTGCCTCGACAAGGTCGCGGGCGGCCTCTTATCTAGAGTGCGCCGCTATCTCGAAGATTCGGCGAAAGCGGTTCGAGCGTCGCGTGATCGGGGCGAGAATGAACACGCACTTTCTAGAAAACAAAAGCAGGGATAAATGATAGAAGTTACGTGCGGTACATGAATAAACGGGAACTTTCTGGAGGACCGTGACCGAGCGTTGCTTTCTCAGCCTTGCGCGCGGCAATACTATCCGAATCCAGCAAAGGGCAAATTCGAGCAATGTATATAATCAATGTTCCTTGTTTTTTTTACTTTGCCCCTGCACTTGGGCTGTCTTACTTGTGATTCTCTCCCCATGGCCCAGACTGTATTTAGCACGTTGCTCGAGCAGCATGCAGCTTTTCTGCTTCGGCGATCTTGTTTAAAAACAGAAATACAAAAAAAATACTATACATAACCTGCCAATTCATTCAGACCATCATCAGCATTTATTGTGCGAGATGTAAATCTATAGTGATGCTCCTGCAATTGTGGCCATATTTCTTTATTTTCATATTCCAGATGTGATTTATGCGTGGCCTGCCCTGTCAACCATGCTTAAAATGTTGGTTGATGTTTCGCCTGTAGCTAGAGGCCATACCTCAATAAAGGTAATTATAAAAATTTACACTTCCAACGAAAAACACGCCGAAAAAAAATTAGCTAAAAACGAGCGCGCCGACAGCTAGCGTCGCCACAGCCTCCACAAGGCGAGCGGGGCGAGTCGGGGAAAAATTCTCTCCTCGCCGTGACGTCACCCCGGTTCGCCGTAAAGGGGCGCCACGCGAACTTCTCGGGGCTAATAGGCGTCGCACGTTCCCAAGAGACACCTTGTATCAATATATTGCATTTTGTACTGATATTTAGGCCCATGGGTTTCTCACGCTTCGCTCACCGAAACCATTCCGTCCTTAAGTTTTTAGCGGAGGGCACACGCCCGGGAATGTTTTAGTGAGCATGATTTATTTTACGTTTACGAGATGAAAAATTGTAAAATTCCAAAGCAATAGAAAATTCGCGAAGTTATACTTCCTATAATATTGTGAAACTATATTAGTGTACGTTACATGTTTTTATCACAACAGTAAGTATGATAGACTTTCTCAAGTCGGAGCATTGTATATTAGGTTGGCATTAGTTCGTGCTCCGTGCGGTGTCATCTTGGACATCAGTGCGATTATGTGGTTTTGCGGACTGTTCATATTTCTTATACCTTCTGTGCTTTACTTTGTTTATGATCAGTATCAGATGTGCAGATGGTTTGTGCTCATTAAAATAGCCGAAAGTATTTCGTTGGCCAACGAAGGTAAGGAAGTTTAAAGATCGAAGATTAGCTTTGCGCGTGAGCCAATCCGTACAATTTTAATAATTTATTTTCCGAACATACAATCGTTCCGTTGCACTTTTCCTTTGTGCCTAAAGGTGGCAGCACAACGGCTCGTTTGAGTTTAAACCGCTTGTTTTTTCATCTATCATATAGTTCTCTGCGAGCATAATATTCGGGTATTTGTCCTTGGGACTAGCATCGGGATGCTGAGGGTTCGTGCCATTCGTCGTGCTGCTTTTCATCGACGCCTTAAAGCTGTCGTGCATGAAGACGATTTTTTCGAGGCGGCCGGTTGGAGCCTCGCAGAGCACGAAGAGTAGGTAGCTGAGCAGATAGCTCCACACCAGGACGGAGAAGAACAGCGATACCTGCGGGGAAGGGAAAAAAACGCCTGGTAAGTTGTGTGCAGTAAGATGCAATATGAGCTGACCCAGTTTAGTGCTAGCCGAAAAGGGGTAAAAGGCCGCATGAAGTGCCTCCGGCATGATGAGCTATGAAACCGACTGGTGCATTGCGACAGTAATGGCGGGTTCGCACTGGAAAAGGATTTGCGCATTCTCAACCGCAAAGCGGCTGTGATCGAGCAGTTGGGGCGCGTTTTTGTCAACCGCGTAGGGACTGATTTTTCCCAACCACTTTTGCGAACCGCGTAGTGCAACCAATAACAACGCGACGCTAAAGTGACGTCGGTAGCTTTCGAAACAAGATGGCACCTGTTGCTTGTGAGGCGTCCAGCGTGATTAAGTCTTAGCGTTGCAGCAGAAAAATCAACTTAGAAACGTAATATTCACGTCCGTCACTTGAATCCGCCGCGAAAAGAGCAGACCCGTAATCTTAACGGTCTTCACTCCGGAGATTTAGTTCGGGTAACACTTTGTTTCTTAATCAGGGTGCCAAAGGTCATGGCTCACTGCCTTGTTAGTCCTTGCTCGTAGAACGTCGAAATCCGCCCCTAATCGACCGAAATCGCAGTTTTTGTGCCCACTAAGGCAGTCGCGTGAACTACTGAAAGCTTTCGACCCCGCACATGATTCACACGAAGGCCACTAGAGACGTCGTGAGCCCGATTGCGTAGCCAAGACACTATTGCGGAGCTGGCCGGGTACCTGCTCTAGCTCGAACTGTAACATTGATTACTACACAAAGGAATAAAGGGAACCTACTCAAGAAATAAATTGTATTTGCCAGACGATGCATCGGTAATCCTTACTGTCTTTATTTGAGCTTAATGTCAAACGGACAGTAAACGAAGAGAAGTTGGGAGAATCGCCGGCGGGTTTTGCGGGTCCATGTCTTTTCTTTTTTGCTGCCCGAAACTCGTGATGCGTGCGAAAACCTGGAGAAAATCTGCAGAGTGCCAAAATAGCAAAATTTTGGTTTTGGATCAGAGATTAAATTGGATTTTGGATTGTAAACCAGGGTTGCCGGATGCAAGTCTCAAGAGATCAGTCGTGATTGCCGAGAAACTGCCTACCGCGTCTCGGTGTGCCTGAACGGGGTCGCTGGTGAACCGCATTCGCAACCGCTTCACAAACGTAGGTGAACCACCGGTGTGAATACGCCATTCCATTAGAGATGTGGTAGTTCATTACATCCTCTTTTTTTTTAACAGCTTGACACGCCTTGCATGAGTTCTGCGCCGGCCCCACCTAAACGTCGCTAGGGCAAGTAATATGGCCGCCACCATGTGGCTACCTAATTTCTTCGTGTATTTGTGGAGACATTTATCTGTGAAACATTTGTGTTTCTTAAAATTACAGCTGGAATACTACATGTGCTTATGGCGATGACTCAGTTTCCTCGTTGTCAAGTATAAGATAAAAAACACATTCACTATAAAGACGCACACCGCATGCAAATTACGTATATGAGGAAGGGAGACAACATCGCTTAATTTTAGAACTTCAACAAAAGAAGAGAGTGAAATAAGATAAAGCTTAATACAAAACTATGCCATCGCCTTGCTAGTAAAAAATAAAAAAAATAAAGAAAACGCTAGTTGCGATAAGTAAAATTTGCTTAAGTTCAAAGGCCACAACGTTATGCTTCGTTGTCATAAGGATTGTTTTCATTTAGCTTCTTTGCTTATTTGTTTGGCAGACCATTTTAATGTTTTGTTTTTTTCTGCAGGTGACCGCAGGTGCAACAACTACGGTGGCGCCATGTGCCCGATCCAGATACAGTTCCAGATACATTTAATTGAGAATACAAATATTGCCAAGAATACGCTTGTGGCGGAAGCTCCCCGATATGGGGAGCGTTGTCGGCGACGCGTTGCCTGCACTAACCATAGGCCAACACGAATGTTGGCGTTTGCCTGTTGGATGTGCCATGAATCAAAAGATGACGACGCAGAACAGGCATATAAGGGCAAAGCTCGCGGCACAGTCAAGTGTTATGTGATTGTCCTTTGTAAATTGGAATATCCACCGGATTAAAAAAAGACAAAAGAGCACTTTGCTGTAAGCTTTTAAGCAAATAAATTAAAAGGGCGAAGTCAGCGGCGTTAGCATGTCAATATTTCCGTGCTATCACTATTGGAATGAAAGGTTCAAAACGCGCGAGCAAAACGGGGAAAACGAAGACACGTAGACAACAGGACAGCAGCAGGACAGGGCAAAGCGAAAAGCAAATTGGTGTGTGTATGCTTATACAGCCGGAAGTTAACCTGTCTAAGTGGCCGTCTGGTGTCTCAGCTGTAGATGTGCAATTTAGACAGTGCTTTACCTCGTGTCTTTGTGCCTTTTTTGTCCTCGTTTCGCTCGCGCTTTTTAACTTTTTAATTAATACGTACCATCCCAAACCCAAGTTTTAATGCTATCACTACTTTATTGAGTGCAAGGAAAACTTTTATTTCCTATGGCATTAGACTCGCCACGTTTACTACGCTTGTTCATTGAAAAGAGATATGTACAGAAACCCTAGTTCAGGACGAAGTAGGGCGGGGCTCATCTCACGAATGAAGAGTTCTTAAATAAACTGTACCTATCGACAAAATAGACTCGACTGGAAAATAAACGTACCTACATTTTTAGAGTGAATATTTTCATTACAGAAAAGTAAGTATGGAAATCTCATATCAACATCTAATTTCAATTTGTTAAAAAAGTGAGCGATTATTCTCAATAACTTCAGAAGTCACTGAAGTGTATACGTCAAATGTTTATTATTTAATTTTGTAATGAGCGATTCTGCTTCTTCAGTTCTGTAACTATATAGAAAAAGTATAATTATCCACTAAAATTAACGAGGAGTGTATGTAGCTGCGTAGACATTAATGAAATGTAAATTATTTTCAGCTGCGTAGACATTAATAAATCATAAATTATTTACAATGTTGAAAAAAAAAATAGTGAAGGGTGGTCGACGTCTTGTTATTTTAGAATTGTTTCATCGATCGGTGGTATTCACTGGACTAGATTTTCGCGCAGTTTTCAGAGCGCATGCGCAACAGGAAGCACCCCTCATATTCTAAGAATTACAATTTTGGTGTTGGGGGGTCCTCAATGCAGAAGCGTCGTGGGAGTTCATATTAAGCTCGCGCTCAGCAGCAGCGCACGCAAATATGGCCATAATTAAATATTCCCTAAAGTCATGACTTGTGACATGCATTGCATTTTTTTATCGATTTCGCTCTACTTTTTTTATATTACTGCCGTTGTGGTGTCATTTTAAGTCACAGGTTTTACTGCACGCAGGTTCTACGCAAGGTGTACAACGTACCATGGTAAAATGGGAGAAGAAGATGCGTTCCCTTGAGATGTGGAACATCAGGAGGTAGAATGGTGAGTGGATCAGGTACACGCCAAAGGACAGCCTGGCCAGAGGAACAAATGCTTTCAAGGACAGAAAGCTGTTTAGAATACCTGAAAAACAAAGAAAAAAAAATAGATTCGGTGCTTTCCGAAGGACACACAAAACACCTCATTCTTGATCTCAGTAAGAACTAAAATAAACAGAGTCAAAGGTTTTAACGCCAAGTTTTTGACAGTTTGTCTAGCGTAAACTAAGCGGAACTTATTGGGCAGAGTGAAAAATAAAGGACAAGCACGATACGGGCAATCCCAATGGGGAGGCGTCTACAGCACTGCTTATAATTAGAGTCGCAACCATATACGTATTTTGAATTCCTGAGTGGTCGTATCATGACGAAAAATAAGAATGTCAACGTAATATTATTTAGAATGGTTGCCCCCTGGTGAATAGCTGGTCTGTTATTAAACATTTCGGTGACCTCAGGTAATTCTTTGGATAGCCAGTTCGATTAGATTTTAACAAAGACCATGAAATAATGGTGTGAACGGATTTCTTTTTGTCGTACAATGCTGCATATATTTTGTGTACCTTGTTTATGTCTTTAATAGTTTAGTCTGCTTCAATTGTATATCGTTTGCGAATACGCTTTTAGTATTTTTTCAACAAGAATATTAATCTATACGTCTATTTTTCGGAGAACTGTCGTTGAACTGGTATGGACGTATGCACACAAAGTATAACGCCGCCATCCTGCTCATTTCTGAAGTATTTCTTAAACAACAGCCCCTATTGAAAACACTAGAGCTGGTGGCGCCGCCAAAGGGAAAATAATCCGCCGCCACGGTAAACCGCAAAAAAAAAAAAAAAATGAAGAACTGAGTTTTTTGTTTTTTAAGAGTGATAGAGACAACAGAGAGAACGTTCGCTTTCACTGGTTTTCCTTGGGGACCAAATGGCGAGCTCATCCTGAGCATCGTTCGTGAGTGCAGCCTGCGTCTATACACCGTTTTCTCTTAAAGGGGCGATGCAACAATTTTTCTACTTTAAGAAAATACCGTTTAAAACGATTCCCTGACGTTGATAACCTATTAAACATGCATTACTTGTTTTTTCTCAATGCAAAGTAATTGCACAGAGGATTTAAAAAATAAAGTAGCTTTTACCTTTTTAATTTGCAGTCAGAGCAAGCGACCACGTGATCTGAAGCCGATTATTTGCCGCCAGTGTTCATCATAGCCACGCGGAAGGGGTTAGCAATGCACAAGACACGGGCTGAGTTTCATGCTCAGCGCTTAAGTTCCAGGCTTCCTCTCTCTTCAACACTTCTCTCTCTCTCTGCTCAGCGCTGAGATAGGACACGAGTCACTGTCCGAATGCTTTAAGAGCTATTAATTGTCAAGAGCCATAATCGTGTGTTCACGGAATGCTCGGGCCCAACCAATGATCTTCATTTAAATATTGTCACTCGGGGTCCTATCAACACCTCCTAGATAACAGAGCCTCACTGCCGATAAAGGTTTCATTAGCGAAGGCCAACGCTGGTCAAAGATTGGACACGATGATAGTGTCAACGCTCGGCTCAAACTCGACTCGAAGGCGAGCGCTGACACCACACTCGTTTCCAATCTGTGTCCAGCTTTGTCCTTCATTGGTGACAGAATAATATCAGTACTACTGTCTTGCCTTCTAGGCGGTGTTGGTCCTATGCCGGCACTGCGAACTTCGAGCTACGTCGTCAAATTTTGCGAAGTCGAGATTGAAAGGAAATGCTCATTTTTATGCTTGAAATTGCAACGCAACGTAGAGGTTTATTGGTCAGCGGCATTGCGTGCGAGTATACTTGGATCCCACTAGTGCCGCCCCTCTATACTGAAAGTAACGCCATAGATTGATCTTCCGACAATCTCACCTTCTAGGAAAATTCTCCTCCTCCTCTTCAAAGTCCCCTTTCCACTACCACTGATTAGCGGAGTGTCTGTCCGGTTTTTAAGTCAGCCATTTGTGCCATCCCGTGCCGCTGCCTCTCATTCTCCGGCCGCGTGTATATTGTTAAAGGACCTCTGACAAGCCCCCCAACATTTTTTTTTGCATGCTAGGCGTTTAAATGGTGTATCAGGATATCACTAAAAAATTGTTTCACTTTAGAGTTGCGTAGTTTTTTTTCTAAAACATAGAAATACGAGGCCAATCGAAAGTGCCCGCCAATGACCTGTGACGTAACAATGTACCCCAAGATATCGGGGCGATCAGAAGGGAGGCATCGCCGGAAGTCACGCGAGTTCTATCACTCCTCGTGCCTACCGCGACGGCGTGTAATATCTTTTTTTGCATTTTTGTTATTCTCCACACCTCCGCGAGCAATCCAAGCGTAAAAGGTTTCTTTTACTTGCTTTTTATCGCCTAATGTTGCTGTAACGGTAGAAGAAGAGGATCAGTGAACCTAGTAAACAAGTTCTGCTTATGTTCTAGACAATACACGTACTTTATGCTCGGCGTTTACTTGTACTTGGTGCACTCACTAGTTTGTATTCTCTAGAGGGCAAACATCTTCAGCCTAAAGAGTATCCGATAATTCGACGACCTCAGTGTCTGAACCTTCAGCAATGCGATCGGGCGTGTCGTATGCTAACAATCCTAATTTCTGCGAGCGTTCTATATTTTTTTTGTTAAAAACTCGATAGCTTGTTTTGTTCTCAGTATGGCTCTGTACTATCGGACTGATGGCGTGCACTTGTACACTGGCTTGTACTCGCAACGCTTTCATCATTGACCTCCATCACGTCGATCTACTGACTCTTCGTCTTCAACTTTTACAGCACGCAAACTAACGAACGCTGCATTGATAAAAAGCTAGTGGAACTGAAACTTTGGTTTCTACAATCGCTCGAAGAGAAGACAAAAAAAAAAAGTCTTAGGCGCGGTCGTGGGGAGCACGAGGAGCGAAACACACGTGACTTCCGGCGAACACAATTTATTGACGTAGGTCGATGCCTCCCTTCTGACCGCCCCGACACCTTGCGGTACACTATTACGTCACGGGGCACCGGCGGGCACTTTGAATTTTTTTTGGCGTGTCAGAGGCCCTTTAAGGGCTGAGGCACGGACAAACTGGAGACCGGGATTCGGTATTAAGAAGTGACAGTGTTTAATGAAACATGACGAAGTGATGGTTGCGTTGGTCAGTCCCATTCTGTCTCCGCCGCGTAAGTCCGCGGGTCCGTCTTATTTCTATAGCCGCGGTGAGGTGACGATATTGCGTCACCGGAGGATCCTGGTCCGATTGGTAGTGGCTGTTTGCTTCAATGAAGATGAGATCCAACAGTGACTGTCTTTGGCCCTGAAGTTCATGATGTCGCAGCAGCAGCTTCTCTTGAATTTTAAAGGCGAGGAAGACGAAGACCCATTGATATTTTTAACTTCGGCAGATATTCGAAAGCCATGGTTCCGGAGCATTTCTTTCGAGGGATTTTGTTATGAACAGTCCCTGTAAGTGCGCCGTGACTTGAGCATAGCCTCGTCGGAGTAGAAACGTAGCATGCTACTTTGCTAACCGCCAGTCAAAAACATTTTTTTTCGATGGAGTTTATGTCACGGGTTTTGCTTTCGGAAACGTCATCGAAATGCCGCTTTGACGCAGTCACTAAATCACTTTAGCGTGTTTACATAACACTCATCTACATGTTTTCATCTCGTCGTCATTTCGGCGTGTAAAGGTAAAAACTAAAATGCACAAGCAGGGGTACTATTTGCTGTCTACTGTTTTCGAAACGAGCGAGTGGGCGACACGGAAAATATGGTATGCTTTGCTCCGTTCGCTGCGTAAGATCACGGCTTCGCATTCCAACACAGAAATATGTCCGCACGCTTCTCGACTTGGATTCCCTGCCTGCTCAAGAGGATATGAAATTAGGACGATTTGTCTCGCTGTTAAATATTATTGTATGAATGTTTATAAAGCGGAAGATTGCATTTGATCTTAAACCAAATGATCCGAGCAGACACACAGCCGAAATTTTGGCAAATCTCGCGTACCTGCTTTAGACGTGATGCAATGGAAGGACATACCCACTTACAAAGACGTAAAAAACACCGTAAACTCATATCCTAGCGAAAACACGAAAGCTGCGAGTCGAAATTGCGCAGCAACCACCGATCTATACTGACGTACAACTTCCCGTGGCATTTCGGAAGTGAAGAGTGCGTGTGCACAGTTTTGATCGGCGCTCAATTTACTCTAGCATCCAAGCGCCCATGGCTTTGACTGCATATGACATAACAAGTTGTCCGCGCGTACGGCAAAGGTTTCCCAGTAATCACTTGTAGCGGCGCTAGGCGGAAGGGAAGCATAGGAGGCGCTAGCGTCGAAATGAAAAAGGAAGACACTCACAAAGATGAGGAAAGAGCGAGAGATTCTGGAGGGAAAAAGGGCTTGGCGCTACTTTCAGTAAAGACGTTTCTACTGTTCAGAGAAACCGCCGTCCACACGTGCTAAATCACAGCCCAGTCAGCGCGCGCTCGCCCTTGCGGCCAGCCAGAAAGGGCGTGTACATAACACACAAACACAGCAATGAACCCGCCCGCATATGCTTTCATAAAATGGTGTATATGGGGGGGGGGGGGGGGTTAAGCGGTATTCACACAGAGCCTCTCTATCCTGGGAAAAGTGGCGTCATTCATGCTCGTCGAAATGCTTGAGTTACGTACCGCGCGCCAGTGCTGGGAAGAACATGGTGTCTGAAATCTAGCTCAATGCTGCGCTGTGCTGCCATGATTTCCAAGGGCTGCACGTTGCACGTGCCTCTTGCATCGACGCACCTTGCGCTAATTTTATATTCACACGGGGGCGAAATCCGCACAGGGATGGGTGTTACGTAGACAGCGTGCGCAATTTCCTCTTCAGCTTCGTCGTTCACTATGATGACGTGCCGGGGGTGGGGATATCAGGGTTTGCAGTCTAATGTCAAGCTTGACAGCATCGCAGACGAGTTTAGCGAGCTCTACAGTTGACATCAAATATATTAACGACCAAATGTTATTGAAAGCAAACCAATCCTCGGTAAAACAAGGATTGTTTGTGCCGCCCAAGCACCCCTTTCTCCACCAAATCCGC